AATCTGAGAAATTATTTCTGATTTCATTTTTTCCAGATCCCCTTTTGTTGCCAGTTCAGTGGGTCCAGGTGGTTGAGTATCAGAGTGTTCCGTCTCATTTCCCTTTGGGTTTACTTTAGGTGATCTGGAAGTCTGGTTTTGAGACTTATTTACATGTTTTCTCATTTCGACTGGGGGCGGGGGCTGTCGGCGCCTGCAGGGATTACCTCCTCTGAGCTGGGAGAGGTGGGACAGGGGCTGGGAGCAGCGGGAGGGATGGTAGCCAGGAAGCCCCTTCCTCTGGACCAGGAGCAGTGGGACGGTGGCTCAGAAGCCCCTACCTCTGGGCTGGGAACAGTGGGACTCAGTACCGTGGTCTGGTGGTCTGGTGTCCTCTGCATCTTTGTAGTGTGGAACCAGGTGCCTGTACAGAGGAGTGGGGTGGGGTGGGGTGTCCAGTGGATTTTTGCCAGGGTGCAGGCTGATTCAGCGTGTTCCACATGACACGGGACCTCAGTAGGGCATGCGCAGACCTGCCTGTCTGCAGCAGACTAATATCAATTTATTCTCAATGTGTATTTTTCTATCATTCTTTTTTTCAGATATTTTATGTCCCTGCTTTTCATGAAGAGAATTTGTAGAATTCTGGCCATCCTTCTGGTATGAAGGATTTCCTAGAATTTTGTGTTATGGTATTTCTGTCTTCTCTTAGCTTGTATGAGCTTACAATTTTTTTCATCCTCCTCTTTAATTTTCCAGTTTTCTAACTGTAATTTTTTGATGTGAAATTTAGCCCAGTCATGCTCCTTGGAAGAAAATGGTGTACGTACATAGCTATGTCTTGGTTATAGAAACAGATAGCTCAGAGATGTGGCCATTAAATCAAGTGTTACCACAAAGACATATAAAGATGGAGGACAAGGAGCAGCATTCTTCACACTGATCAGAGACTAATGGTCAGTGGCTTTGCTCTTTTCTCAACCATGCTGGAAATGAGGTTGTAAGTGCAGGCATTTGAGGGCTTTTGTTTAACTACAAAGACTTCTTATTATTTTTCACCCAGAGTGCTGAAAGGGTACATTTTCATTCACTCCAAACCAACTGCAATGCCAATGGGCATTAATCCATTCTAGATCACTAAAGGGCTCTGTAGATTACTAAATGGCACTGAGTGTTCTTGATACTGCATTAGAAAAATGAATTAGACTGTGGCATTATAATATAATTAAATTCAACTCATGATCAAGGTAAGATGACCATTCTTTTCAAGCAAGTTTCCATAAGAGCTTCCTGCTATCTCTTTTCAAGTCTACTCCTGGGAGCAGCTAATGTTTTCTATCTGTCACGCCTCCTTACCTTTTTAATGTTGGTTGTCCTGAGTGGTGTTCCATTATTTTTGGTGACAGAGACAGTCTTGCTAAATATGGACCCAAGGATCCCCTGGGGATATAATATAGAAAGGAAAATAAGAATACATTAGAGAGTTTGCATGTGGTTGGTTATGTATGGCATTTCCACTGAAGAATGATATGACTGGAACTTTGCTTGTACTTATTTAATATCTTTTTCCTAAGAAGGCCAAAGAACTTTATAAATGTTGTTATGAGTCATCTGCACATCACTCAGAAGTGTGCCAGATTCCAAAAATCCTTTTAATGGTATAATTATTAGCAGAGAGGATAAATGACATTTGCCACTTTTTGTTAACCTTGCTCTCAATTTAGTTGCTTCAGAGAACAAGATTTACTTCAGGTATGGATAAAGCTGTTCTATTAAGAAAATGAGGGAAAAAAGGAACTATTCTTTAATGAGGTCCATACTTGTGCCAGACACCATGTCAGATGATCAAAGGTGTTATCACATCTTATTCCATGACCATAGTATTAGGCAGGTGGTATGATTCCCGCCTGTTTCAAATGGGGACCCTGGGGGTGAGCAAAATTAAGGTCATGCAGCTATAACATGCCTAAGTGGGCTGCATCCTGGTCTATTCCTCTTGCACACTCACCCTCCCACCCTTGTGGAGGTGGATGAAGAACCTGCACTCTGGATTTTAGGAAAGTGGAATCAAGAGGCTCCATATCTCTCCTGGTCCATGGAGCACATTTCTATTTTATTCCAAAGGGCATGTTTTCCCCTGCACAGATATAGAACATGTTTCTCAATGCCTTTACATTTTTAGGGCAGAGGCTACCTCACTGGGAACGTGCCTTTCATCAGGAGAGACAAAGTATGACAAAAGCCTGTAGCTTTACCAGGGATAATTAGAGGATGGCATTTCTGGGCCACTTCATTCTTTACAAGTGGACTGGAGACTAGAATGTTCACTGGAGTAGAAACTGTGCTTTCTGCTGCTTTATAAGCATAACCAGGCTGTACTATTATGTCAAGGGTATAAAATAGGAGATGACTTGTAATTTTTCTGTTTTTAATATATGATGTATTTTATATACATTACATTGATTTTCCTGAGCAAAAGACAGGCTCTTCTTATTTTAAGCCACTGAGATCCTGTAGTTTTCTATAGTTGCAGCATAGCCTATCTGTCCTGGATAATGTATTCATCTATTGGGATGATCATATGGATTTTTTTCTCTAAATGTTGTAGGAAAGGAAAGGTGTGATATTTCTCCTCAACCCTCTGAAGGGTCATGGTTAACACTCCTTATAGGTTAATAGAATAGATTAATAAGAGGAAAGCATGACAGAGACACATTTATTTAGTCAGTTTCACATGATATAGGAGCCTTCAGAACAGCCTAGGGAAAATTCAACTTTTATGCTTAGATTAGATGAATGGACCTGTTGAACTGTGAGTGGACAAAAAGGGTAATATTTCATACAATAGATTGAAGGGGAAACTTAGGGGAAGCAGTCTACCCAGGTTCTTTTGGGCTCTCTGTGCAGCATTGCTTCTTCTCAAGTACAAGGTAGGGTCCCTTCTGGGATCAGGGTCTTACACCGAAGGGTGAGTGAATGTTATAGAATATTTCTAGGTTTTGTGTGTGGCTTTGGGGAAGAGGAGTTCTGGTTTCTATGCACGGTCTTAGTGTATGTGGGGAGAGATCAGGAGACAGAAGGAGGGAAGCTCAGAAAGAAATTTTACTTCTGATCCCCTTCCAATGACCTTCAGTTCAAAGTCCTTAGCATGCCAAAGCACCATGTTCTGGGGTATCATTTTTCTGGGCCCCAATAATTATTTATTGGTATGTTACATTAAAGGACTTTCTGATATCGTCAACCTTGCATTTTAGTAGATAGCCTTTACAATATGTAGAAATAGGCAGGATGTATTTAATATACATTATATTTAATAAACTCATTTTTCATTTATTTTATGACTGTTAAGATTAAGTGAAGTTGATCTATCATGTGCTTTTCTGGTCTTGTTCTTATTCAGTTTTGATATCAGGTCATACTAGCTTCATTTATTGTCAGACGTTTTCTTTTTCTAGTCTCTGATACACCTTGTATAAGATAGAGATGACCTATTCCTTGGGTTTTGAGCAAAGGGGGAGTTCAATGGCTTTGATCTAAACTGTCCCTCAAAGGCCTATGTGCTAATGGCTTCGTCTTCAATTTCATGCTTCTCAGAGGTAGTGGAAACTTTCGATGTGGGGTCTAGTGAGAGGAATGCAGGTCATTGTGGATGGGCCTTTGAGGGAATAATGGTGCTCCTGCCTCTTCCTCTCTGTCCCTTTATGGTCATGAAGTGAGTGGTTATACTATGGCACATGTCTTCCACCAGGATGTGTTTTGCTTCACTACAGGGCCAAAATGTAATGGACTAACCAATCACAAATAGGAACCTCTAAAACTATGAGTGAAAATAAACCTTTCTGCTCTGTAACTTATCTCAGGTAATTATTATAGTGACAGAAAGCTGACTTACACAGGAATGTGACACAAGATAAAGTAGGAGAGGTGATGAAGAACCAGATGATGTAGGATTTTGTAGGTCACAGGTAGAAGTTTGGGTTTTATTCTAAGGACACCGGGAAATTATTGAAGGATTTAAGCAACTGAACATCTTGATCTGTGTATTTTACTGGGTGTGCTATTTAGAGAATGCACTAAAGTGGTTAAGCAGAAATACTAGCTGAGAGGCTACTTAATTAGTTGAGGTAAGAGATAATGGTGGTTTAGTCTAGCAGGTGACAGAGAAGGTAGGAGAACTGAGTTATTCTGATGTGATATTTATTCTGTGATAAACTAATAAGACTTGTTAAAGGATTCCATAAAACAGTAAAGAAAAGGAATTAAAGTTTATTGGAATGACTCCTAGATTTTTGCCCATGTAACTGGGTAGGGAATGTTCTACTTACATGAGTAATTCTGGGAATTTGGGGGTAGAAAAACTAATAGTTCTATTTTTGACCTGTTTTATTCTTAATTTTTATTAGTATATGTTTGTGATACATAATAATTACATTTCTTTGGGGCATTAGTGGAGATGGGTATCACATCTCAATCATTTTTAGTCCCCTTTTCCTTCCACCCTCCTCTCTTCCCTTATTCTTCAAATCTCCTTTCCATCTCTCATGGTTTCTTATCTTCTTTTTTGCTGTTTAAATTATTTATATTTTGGATTTCTCACATAAAAGAAGTCATGTGATATTTAACCTTCTGTGTCTGATTTATTTCACTTATCATTATGGTCTCAAGATCATATATTTTTCTATAAATGGCTCAAGTTTCTCCTTCTTTATGGCTGTTTAGTACACCACTGTGTAAATACACCACATTTTCTGTATCAACTCATCTGTTGATGGGCATATAAGCCACTTCTATAATTTAGTTATTGTGAATTGTGCTGTTATAAACATGGATATGCATGTATTTCTGTAATATGATGCTTTAATTCTTTTAGGAAGATACCCAGGAGAAGTATAACTGGGTCAAGTGAAATTGTTATTTTTAGTGTTTTGAGGAATCTCCATACTGATTTACATAATGGTTGTATTAGTTTACATCCCTACCAACGATGTTGAAGGGTTCCTTTCTCCCCACAACCTCGCAGCATTTGTTTTTATTTGCTTTCTTGATGGTAGCCATTCCTACTGGAGTAAGATGGAATCTCCATGGTGGTGTTTCAATTTGCATTCCTCTAATGGCCAAAGATGCTGAACACATTTTCATGTACTTTTTGGTCATTTGTATTTATTTTGTGAAGTGTCTAACTGTCCATTTTTTAATTGAGTCTCATGTTATTTGGGGTCTAATTTTTTTGAGTTCTTTATAGCTGGCAGCACTCCCCCACACCCATTCTGTAGGCTGGCTCTTCATTCTGTTGTCTTCTTTGCTGTGCTGAATCTTTATCATTTGATATAATCCCATTTGTTGATTCTTGTGCAACTAGGGTTCTGTTTAGAAAGTCCTTGCCAATGCCTATGTCTTCAAGAGTTTTTCTTATCTTCCAGGAGATTCAGTGTATCTGTTTTTATATCTAAATCTCTGATCCATTTTGATTTGATTTTAGTACAAGGTAAGAGATATGGTCTTGATTAATTTTTGCGTGTGTGTAGATATCTAATTTTCCCAGCACCACTTGTTAAAGAGGCTATCTTTTCTTCAGTGTTTGTTTTTAGCCTCTATGTCCAAGATCAGATGGCTAAAGATGTATGAAGCTATTTCTGTGTGCTTTTGACGTGTTTAAATAGAAATGTCTATTGAATTTTACAATGAAGATGCAAAGAATACAGAAATATAAACTTGTCGCTCAGGGGAGAAAATGGGGTGTTATTAGTGCAATGGTGGTTTTTAAGGTAAAGAACTAGAGGCAACCATCAAAGGAGAGAGGAGAGGGAGAGAATACGAAGCTAAGGAACAGATATTTGGAGCAAAGAAAATGAGCCAACAAGAGTGGAGCTCATCCTCCCAGGTACTTCAGTAGCTCTCTGTGTTCCTATTTTGGGTCTGAATGATTCTCCGTGTACTTGAGCTATGAACATTTAGAAACTTGTCCGGCACCATGTAGATGCTTAATGTACAAAGCATCGAGTGCTTCTGATAATACAGTGCTATTTCTGGCTAGGTGCTTTGGAATCAGCAGGAACCATCAGAGACAGCTTCTAGGCCTCTCCTCACCTGCAGTGACTCAATTAAAAGGCTTTGGATCCTCTTTTCTGAAAGACGCCCTAGGATAAATGTTTTTCTTTGGGCCAAGATAGACTTGTCTCAGTCACATATAGGAGCTCCTCTCATGCTTCCTTGGGATGGAAAATTATGTGCTCAGGATGGACCAGATCTTGTATGCACCATGTACAAGTCCTAGAAGGGAGAGATAGCCTTAAGCCAGATAAATCTGAAGGCCTGAGATGTCATAACTTGTACACTGTTAGTCACAGTATTCCTTCTGCCCATCCCTCAAATGTGTTCAGTTCTTTCTCAACACATTGAATTCCAGGTAACTGAAAAAAACCAAAATCAAAAACTCTTTTGCCAATCAAGGAATAGGAAGTTGCTGAATTTAAAAACTCCAGTGTTTGGGGAGGTCAGTGACAGGTGTTTAGTAGACAAAAAGGGCAAAAAAAGATGACTCTAGGGTCTTGGACTACTGCTGAGGTAGCAACAGCTTCCAGACAGACATAGATTAGGCTAAGAATCTTGAAAAAAGCCTTGAAAAATCTCTTTGTTCAAATATTTAGTTAATGGGCTCTATTAGTAAAAGGTAAATACCATTGATTTCCATACTTTGAAATTTTATCCTGGAATTTTTCACAATAAAAAATAAAAGTCAGAGTCTAATGCTTAAGGAGGATTGGAAAAAACCCCACCTTTGTCAGGTAGATTAAAAGCTGAGGCCAGGTGTGGTAGAGCATGCCAGTGATCCCAGAACTCAGGAGGCTGAGGCAAGAGGATAGCCATGAGTTCAAGACCAGCCTAGGTTACTAGTAAGTTCATGCCTAGCCAGAACTACATAGAGAGAACCTGTCTCAAAAACCCAAACCAAACCAAAACAACCAAAAGAAAAAGAACCCCCCAAACCAAAGAAAAAAACCCCCACAAAAATATCCACTCCCTAAAAAACAACAAAAAAGCTGAAAAGTTTATGAAATACAGATAGAAACTTAATTCAGGTCGCTAAGCTTTTCACCATAGAGTGATTCAATCAATCACAACATTTTATGTTAGTGGTGACTTCTAAAAAGTTGATAGGCATAGTTAACTTACAAATACATTTTTACAGTTTTTCTATAAATCACAGAAGAGTATTACATAGTTTATGTAAACATTTCAGTTTCTTCACTTTTTTTTCTTTTGGTATGTTTTCTTAAAAGGAAATTAAAATGGTAGAAATTCGGTAGTGTAAAGAGCTAAGGAATATGCTTGATCAACTTGAAGAGCTAGGGAACATTTATAAGTATAATGTATAAGAATAGGAGAATTACAGGAAAGAAGACTAAAGTAACTACAAGTGAGTTTTTGACTTGGGGTGAGCAGGTGCCTTCTTACCTTGACCATGGTAGGATTTTACATCTTCTGAGGACGTGCAAGGTGCTGATGGGAAAACATTTAAGACAGGAGCATTATAGACCCATCTCATGATAAAAGATAACAAATACTTCTCGGTGTGCACTAAAAGCTTAAGTAGCTTCTGCCACATTCACCCTTTAGCCATGATCATCGCACCCTTCCCATCTGTCTCATGTTCAAGGCCAAATAAGTCCCCTCTCCCTCACGAGGACTTCCTTGGTACCGCCAGAGCCCAAAATCAACTCAGTGAGAGAATGTATCATTGGTATCTCTTGCCTGTCATTTTTTTTTTTTGGTACCAGGGATCGAACTCAGAACCTTGAGCTTCCGAGGCAGGTGCCAGAACTACTGAGCTAAATTCCTGGCTCCTTCTTGCCTGTCTTTTTTTTTTTTTTGGTACCGGGGATCAAACTCAGGTCCTTGAGCTTGCAAGGCAGGTGGCAAAACCACTGAGATAAATCCCTGGGCCATTTCCTGTCATTTTTAATGTCATGGCAAAATAATTTTAAGTCATAATGGGGAAAGGGTAGTGTTTAGGTTTCAAATTACTTTCTTCTATGTCATCTTATTTTATAGTCAGGCTATAAGGGAATTGGAAATACGTCTGTGGCCACCAAAATCGGCCTCCTCTGTGTAACAAGAACCCCTCAGCAGGATGGGAGCTGTCAGCTTTCCCCTAGATGCCTTCAAGGCTGTGTGGCTCATTTCCACATTAAGCCATGCTGAATACCTTGTTAGAGAGTCCTTTCTTGTATGGAACTGGAATATCGCCCTTGAAATGTCTACCAATTACATTTAAAGTTGTCCTCTGGGGGTTGAAAGAGTATATTTGATTCTCTTTCCGACTCAGAGTCCTTTAATGTTTTAGGATAGTTAGCCAAAATCACCAAAGCCTTTTCCTGCATGGACAAAATGTCTCTTTTCTTCCCCATCATCAGAATGGCTTTAAGTCCCTTCACCATCCTCACCGCTTTCCTCCAGATGGACTGAGCCACTCCTTCAGTGAATGCACACCTTGCATTCCTGGCACCGGTGTAGGCCCTGGGCATGCAATGAGAAGACAGGACAGAATTCCCTGGCTTACGGATTTTACATCACAGAGATGGAGGCAGACTATAAGGAAAGGGTTGATTCTGGAAGGTTATGTCCTTGCCACTTGACATCCAGTGTTCTGGAGGTGTCTGTACAGAGCAGTGCTCTGATGGGCCCAGTTTCTGACACTCCCATTCATGTGCTCTATACTTCTTCACCATTATATTGTCAGCAATGCAGTTGTGACTGTAGTATCTCTTTTTTGGGCAAACGTACTTTTTGGAAAAAATATTGAGTTTATTTTCAATTATAAACACAACCAACAAAAACCAAGTATCTTTTTCCATTTGAACTGACGCCAATCATATCTTGTCCTTCCTAGACTTGGTATTAATCCAAACCTCTCTCACTGTCTTGAGGATGTTCTGGCTACTATAACAAAAATACCACAAACTGGGTAGCTTGCAAACAGCAAATATTTATCACCTTCTGGAGGCTGGGAAGACCCAAATCAAGGTGCTGGCAGATTCATAGTCTGGGGAGGGCCCATTTCCTCATAGATGGCAGTGTTCTCACTGTAACTTCATATTGCAAAAGTGGAAAACAAGCTCCTGTAGGCCTCTTTTATAAAGACACTGATTCCAATCATGGGGTCTCCTTGCTTGTGACCCCATCATCCAATGCATTAGCTATGTCTCATAGTTTTGTGTCATTTATCAGTCTGATATATTTGGGGACCCTTTTCCTTACCTGAGTCCCTGCTTTCAGGTTCAGTAAGAACAGGGACATTGGGGGCTGGGGATTTAGCTCAGTGGTTCCGCTGAGTTCCTCACAAGCATAAGGTCCTGAGTTTGATCCCTGATTACACCCTCCAAAAAAAGAACAGGGGCATTCTGAGGACAAAACCCTGAATCTTCTGCATGAAGTCCTCATTTCTAGTGTGTCTTTGTAAATTAATCAGCACTCTTTCTGTCAGCCTTACTAGTTTGAGTCCAATAAACTATTACTCAAATGTTTATTTCACCATCATTTTTGCAAAATCAACATGGAAGAGCCTGTGAATTGCATTGCTGAACAATATATTGCCTTAATATAATCTTCATTTGTCAATCTGGAGATTACATTGACAGAGGAAATGGCCTCGTCAGCCATTACAAGTGGTTGGTGGACCTTCATTGGTTCCATATTCACCATGTTTCTCTTGAAGTATTCAAAACTCAACACTCAACAACTGGTAAGGGGGTGGGAAGCAGCACACCATGCAGAGCAAAAGCATTCACCACATGGCAGGACGCACAAAGGAGGCAGAGAAAGGGGCTGGGCTCCCACTCTGCCCCTCAAGGGCATGACCCTAAGGAACAGCATGTCTCCCAGTAGGCTCTGCTCAAGGTTCCACCCCCTCCCAAACCTCTTAGCAGTGTTACAGATTCTTTAACAACTCAGTAACAGTCTGCCCGATATGTACAGGACAACTTCACTTCCATCAAGATCACTCCTTCTCTTTGAAGCCATCCATACCAAACTTGCTCTCCAGTAATCCTTCACCGTCATTCACACTTCTGTAATTTGGGACATGTCATCTCACCCATGATATGCTGCTGTGCCCTTCCTCATTCTCCATCTGGAAGATGCCTTATCAATTTTAAAGACCCTGTTAAAATGTTCCCTTGTCATGGAAAATGTGCTTGACTCTCATCTTTGTGTCTCTCAAAACTGCATGCACACACCCTTAACATCTGTACTCCAGAAACTTTCATGTTACCTCTCCTACTGGATTCAGCCATGGGAAAGTACCATGATGCTTGGTATGCTGTAGGGACTTAATAAACACTTGTTGAATTTTAGAAATTTCCTGTGGGTAGCTTGTGAGAATCAATCCAGTTTATGCATCTACGTGCTCACTCGTTTCAGGAAATTGAAGCTGTTTTGTTACTTTCTTTTCTTCATTGCTAGTTAGTTTTACATTATTACAACCAAGTGGCTAAGATTAACAACTAGGAAGGGAAAAGGTTTGTTTTAGCTCATAATTTTGGAGTTTCTAGTCCATGATCTGGGAGACCCATTGTTTTTATGCACATGGGCCTATGGGGGTATTTAAGATCCAAACCATAACACTATCATGCTCTGTAAAACTCTTGAGAATTTAAATTTTTTGATGAATTCCAAAATTTTATAAGTTAATCATCTCAGGTGTTTCTTAATAGTGATAGAAAGCTGAATAATATACCTTGGAGTAAAACATCTTCACAGGCGAACAAAACAAAGCAGGTAATTTGAACACCTTTTAGAGTTTAAGAAACTGAGGCTTAAATAGGTCAAGTCATTTGTCCATTATTTCCTAAATTTTAGGCAGTGGGGTCAAGGTTAAACCTTTTGACACTCTCTAGTGTCAAAAGTTACATCATGTCAAAAGGGCAGGAAAAAGTGTCAGCACTTTTGGTATTCCTTCCTGAATATTATTCAGATTCTCACTCATCAAAAGTGCTCAGTTAATTTGCCATTTAATGGAGAAGTTTACAACATTTAAAAGTTGGATAATTTTGGAAGTACTCTGAATCCGAAATGCAACATCTATCTTAACAGGAAAGAAAGAGGAATAAACTCACGGTAAGGACAAATCTTAGTTTTGAATTCTCCTTTTCCTTTTCCAGGCTTCTGAAATGGGAATGGAAATTTTAATTAGCAGGAAGATGCCCCACAAAATGGAGGAAAGGATTGTAAAAGTGGAGAATAATCTATTAACGAGCATACTGTGCTGTAAATAATTGAGAGTTAAATACAAGAATTTCTTAAAAATCTGCCATTTAGAGTAAGAATTCCAAAACCATTTTTTCTTCTCCCTGCTGATGTCACTTTTAAAGCGGTGATCCTATCAAATGCCACTGTAGTACTAGGAATAGCATTCTCAACACTGTTCTCCTCTTTGTACCTGCCCCTTGTTACTTACCATCCTTTTACACAATAAAAAGCCTCAAATTAATTCAATGCTTTCTCCTAGAAAATCAAAATGCTTTCTCCATGTCACCATTTATTTAGTCCTCAAAGCATTCCTCTGTTAAGTGAGTGTGTGGTGGGAAAAAAAAATTGTTCCTTCCCTTTGTGGTGCATAGGAAGTGTGAGAGAAGAGTGTGTCGTTTCTATCCACTGTGGAACTTGATGCTAATTCAGTTCAGGTCAAAGCTGTTGGCTGGGTTCTTCCACTCTACCCAGTGGTTCAAATAGAACTGTGTTCATGGACTCTCTTATCCAATAAATCAGCAGATAATTTTGAGAGCCTCATATATGTTGAATCCTATACTAGGCCCCTGAGATACAGTCAGGAATAGGAGAGGGAAAATAAATCTCTGATCTCATGGAATTTAAATTCTAGGAGGAGACTGACAACAAACATAGTTGAGAAGTAAATTGTACAGTTATGTTAGAGGGGATACGTATTTTTAAATGGAAAAAAAATCAGTGCGAGGGGGGAAGAATATGTAGGGAGGATACACTGAGTTAGGTAAGACCGACAGAGTAGGCCTCAATGAGAGAGTGTCATTTGAATACAGAGTTCAAGGAAGAGAGGGAGCAACATCTGAGGAAAGAGCATCCCAGGCTGAAGGAATGGCCAGTTCGGATAAATGTCCTGAGGTGTCAGCATGCCTGGACTGTCCATGGGGACAGTGTGCTTGGAACATAGTGAGAAGGAGAGTTGCAAGAATCGAGGTCAGAAGTGACCTCATCCTGAAGGGCCTTGTAGGCATTTTAAAGACAACTTTCACTTTGGGTGACAGGATGTCTTGGAAATTTTTAAGCAGAGAAGCGATCTGATTTAATTTTGAAATGATCATTCTGCCACGTGAGTAACAGATGGGAAGGGACACCAACAGAGAAGACAGGGGGCCGCTGGCTTCTTTCAGGACAGATCAGCTCTCTCGGCACAAAGGAGGGCAGGGGTGGAGGAGATGCTGAGGAGTGACCCCACTGTGGGTATGTTTTTCAGGTAAGGCCAACAGGATTTTCTGATTGCAGAAGATGTGAGTTATGAGGAAAAAGGCACAATCTTATCGTCCACACTGGACTGGAGACTGTTTAGGGGCAAAAGTCAGTCGTTATATTTCTTTATGTTCTTCATAGAAACAGAGAAAGGCTTTCTGCACAATTAATAAGTACTTGTTAAATGACAGAAGGAGGGAAAAAGGAATCTGTGTCAGTAGGTCACAATTCAGATTTTTCTGTAACATTAATTATTTGCAAAAATGGACACTATTTCTTAGATTTCAAAGATATTAATACAGTTTCTTTCCTTCTCAAGGTAAGATTGCTGAAGCTGGAAATAAAGGCCTTGAAACATCTTTGTATGGGCTGGAATTATATTACCTTGGTGAGGTTACAGGTCTTTTATCTGCTACTCAGAAATTCTATCTGATGTGTATAATGGCTGTACTGTCACATTTTATAATTTAATTTGTTTAGAATATTACAACACATAAGGGTTCACGAGGAAAATGGTAAAACAAATTTTGGATGATGATAGTTGGGTATTACGCCATATTTATGTGGTTTTTGAAAGAAACAGAAAAAAATCCTTACAATATCTATTTTTTTTCTTATTTACAATATAAAGGTCCCCATTACACTGGAGAAAAAAACAAAAGGGAACACAGCAATATCTTATGATCAATCTAAAGTCAAATGGGTTTTCAGAGATCTAGTCTAACTGCTTCAGTTTACATTTGAAAAGTGTGAATCTTGGAAATGTTAAGGTGATGAACATAATTTTCCTACACATAATTTTCCATATACAGCAACATACACTCAGTTGTCTAATGAGAATTAACAATACAAGTAGCAAAAATAGTGAAATATGTTATTGCTTGAATCTTCCTCCTAATACTTGCCCTGCCTGGCACAGTAACTAGTCATAAACCTTCCTTCCAGAAGTTCCCTTTTAGGAGGAAAATGGACAAACCCAGCAAGCAGGCATAATTATTCTTTCCAAATTTATTAATCTAAATTACAGCAACTTCCCAAGAGTAGACTGAGGAGAGGAGACTAGAGAGGGACTAAAGGGGGAAGCAGTAGGTTTCAGCTATGGCAAGAATGCTAAGGAAATAGTCACAGGACTTGAAACAAAGGGGATTTTGCTGAGCAATGAGAAAATCTGGGGAATCGGGGAAGAGTGGGACGTGGGTAAGACTAGGGTGTGAGTAAAATAGTTTGGGTCGGTGAGCTTCGTCCTGTGGCGTTTAGAACAGGGGATAAGTTGGATAAATATTCGTTCCTTTGGGTGAGACCTGACATGGGAAGGATAGGAATGGGGGAATGTTTTGGTATACATGAATTGCACTTCTGACCCGAGTACATTCTACTCTGCTTAGACAATGGGGTTAAGAAAGCGCTGGCTTCTCTTCCCCTCCCTCTGCTCTCCGCACCCTGTCCAGCAGAGGCAAGAAAACTGTCTGAGGTATCTGCAGCTTCCCAAACTTGTCTCTGAAAGCTGGAAACATGTTCGTTTACTACAACCCCGGCAAAGATGACTTCTCTTTCAGTCCTCCTGCTGCTACAGAATTCGTGGCAGCAACTTGACGAATAATTCAGAGATACCTGAACATCTAGACCTTCTGTGAATGTTAGCAGGGTGAGTAGGAGAGAATAAAGTTCCTCTGAACATCTTCTATTAAAAGAATCCGGGCATTAGGATGTTGCTTTAATTTCACAGGTACCGAGGTTTCCACTTTGGCTTGGCAGCCTCCAAGTCTTTCCCATTTTTCCACTTTAGGAGGAAGCTGTGAAAGCCCGAGGGAAAAGGGCCAGGGGTGCGGGGAGATTCGTTGAGTCTCACCGTTCTTTCAGTCCGAGGACGTCTCAATACCTCTCTGTTCTTTTAAGGACAACATCATCAATCACCTGCTCCCCTAGCACCGTCGGCGGAGCCGGCAGGCACGTGATAAAGCCTGCCAGCTGCAAGGGCCCCGTTTATTCACCCGTCCGTCCACCCGTCCGTCGTCCGTCGGTCCGTCCACCACCCACCCCTGCACTGCCAAGCCCGTCCTCCCTTTCCGGCTTACACTGGGCGCTAAGCTCCGGCCTCGGGTTCCACCTCAGCGGGGCGGGCGGGGCGCGTGGGCCGCAGTCCCAGGAGGCGACGGAGCGGCGAGGCCGGGGAGGCGGGGGCGAGGCGGGGGCGGCGCGGGGGCGGCCCGGACTTGTGTGTCAGTCGG